TTCTATGTCATGGATTCATATCCTGAATTTTGCAAAAGAATCCACTCACCCAAATGCATGAAATGCAGACAGATGTTGGTTCATGCATTTGCTGGGAAGCTTCAAAGCCATGCGTCTTTTTTCCTATTCGTTGTGCTCACTTCTCTGCACCGTGGGATGCAGTACAACGCAGTACGACGCAGTGTCCATCCTCGCATGTGTGCATGTCCGAGCAACCTGTTGGCTGGCATAGATATGGATAGAATTGGATAGATACTCTCAGAGGGATGGAAGAAGCGCTGACATCACTGCAAATCTGGATTCGCAATGAACCAAACTCAGATCACTGACATGCCTTGGGGGTGTTCTATTATATACTATACCTGTAACAGTGGGTAAACAATTATCATCAACTGACTATTTTTCGAGCAAGGCCTTTACTAACCATCATCACCCCGGATCCGGTACCTGATGTACTGCGCATCCCCTTTCGTGACCTTGTATATAATATTCAGCAACACCAACGTTGAATCTTTTGCCAATTCGCGGAGCTTCTGATTGGGCTACTAGTACGCATGTGCTGACTAGCAGTCGTTGGGTACAATACGTACTCAGATAAGATTAAAAGCGGAAAAAATCCACTGTTACAGGGAATGGGATTTATACCCAAGCTATATACCAGGGCCCCCTAAGGGGTGGTTAATGGACACCCCGAATCACCTCTAAGGAGCTATTCTTACTCAATTCAACCCGAGTCACGGCTGCGGTCACTCTGCGCTTCGAGTGACGGAAGGTGGAGGCGCGCGTTGGTCCGTGCGTTGACCGCGCGGTCCAACGCGCTCCCATTCCGCAGGTGCCGAAGTGTCCTGGGATCCAGAACCGATTGAAGAAGGCAAGGCTGGAGCTTCTTAAGAGGACGACATGGGGGAGAAACATGGAGAAACGACCGATATGTTTCTATAGTTATCATGTAAATTCGACTTTTTGGTGTCGGGTGTTGAATGGTTTTAGATGGTTTTAGTTATATGTTTTGGTGTTAGTTTGGCTGTTTGGCAACGGACTTCTTTTTGGTACCATATGGTACCGACCTCGGAGCAGACCAGAAGTCCGATCGGAGCAGCCCACAACCTGTGCTCCCCGTCCCCGAACCTGAAACTGGGATGTCAAGCACTCAACGGTCCTCCATGTGTGCATGTGTGTATACTGCAACGACTCCTCTGGTTTGTAGCTCAGCTTTGGAAGCAGTTCTCATTCATAGATCCCAGCCACTCTCAGTTCTTGGGCGTACTTAGGCCATGAGCAGTTCCATTCCTGCGCTTGGGGTTCCGGCGTGAACGTCGGTCGACCAACGAAAGAGTGCTTTCCCATCTGTGGCACAGGTCGATGGCAAGCGGGTGAATCAGGCCGAAACACGGAACCTGGGTTGATGGGGGATGATGGGCGTGAAGATCCAGGAGCTCTTCAACGAGTTTGTTTTTAACCAAAACCATCCTATACCCACTTACATGTGTGTTCGATCCAAGCTAAACACAGCTAAGGTCATTGCCGGCATAAGTATCGCTGAGCGATGGATAGCTGCGATTGGCAAGTGGCGCCAGTCCATGCGTCTTCCTGGAGTGATGCAGTTAGCGACATTCCCTGCAGCGATCGAACAAGAGAAAAGAAGCTGACTTTCCAATGTGTTTCAGCAGAGTGAATGGTGTAGCAAGGTCAATCTCCAAGTTTGCAATTTCACATTTCAGATTTCCGACTGAAGGGTTGGACCTGCACTTTCATTGTGCTTAGTGGGTCGTCTGTTTGTTTGTTTGTTTTATTTTATTTATTGTTATTTTTTTAGAGCACTATTGGTGTCAAAGTAGAGCGACCCCATCGCAGTTGTCAGTTCAATGCATTCAGTGGTTGAAATTATTACAACAGCCAATCCAAAGATCTTCATCAGCAGCGAAATGAAGCCCAAAGGACCCTGCCTCACAAATGTTCAAATATATGTTATATTACACTCTATACGTGGATGGTCTTAAAATTCTCTTGGAAGACGATTTGGGGGACAGATTCTTGAACGCCACATGTTGAAGCATAGAAAGCCCTCTTGAACAAAACTGAATCCAGTGGTTTTCACTACTTGTTGGCCAGCTGTTGGCGGGGCTGCAATCACTGTAGACTTAATTCGGAGTTCCTGGGGGAGTTCGGCGATGTTTTGCATGCTTTTCTATTACCGACAGTGTCGGACGCATGTCAGCAATGATGTTTATCCTGCCATGATATGCCATGATCCAAGAACACAATGTTCAAGTTTAGAATGGTCATTTCAAATATCATTAGTTCTATTTTTAAACCAGTTGAACATTCATCGTTTGAGGGAACATCACCCAAACCAGAGTGCACCCGCTCCATTTTGGACTTCTGGGACTTCCGTGAGGTCTTGGGTAAGGTGAAGTACCAAAGCCCCAAGGGAGAGCTCACGTGCCTTGGTCTAGATGGTCAGCCGATCTCGTGCACCTAGCTGACGCTGTTTGGGGTGTCCTTGTCGAGTCCAACTCGACCAGGGTCTGACGGACCAAAAGGGATGTCGGAAATCAGTAAATTGGTTGAATGGACCCTATAGTTGGTGGATTTATCAAGGGGGACAACCCCAGTGTTGACCAACCAATCTATCAGTTAATATATTAACATATAGTTTTTGTATACACCCGGGAAGATTAACATGGAAGCTGAAAATGGACCTTTGGAAGACTACTTTCCTCTACAACCCAGTGGTTCTCAGGTTCTAGGTTAATCTTCCCGGATGTAACTATAACATAAATGTAATATAATTAATGGTACCTGGCATCGACCCTTCAATTCTTCCCAGTGGGTCGGACATCGAACGTTGAAAGCCATAGGGGGCAGAAAAGGAGGTTTTGCCTGACCATTGGGCGATGTGAAGATGAACATCTGAAATCGGTTTGTCTTTGGCGCGCATACTGTAGGTGTAGGGCATCAAAACAGTGGAGAAACCCTTGTCTTGGTGCGGAACGTAGGTTGTTTGTCTCAGCCCCTTTTCAACATGTAACATGTCTCCCTCCGGTGTTTTGTTGAACCAAAAGCAGAGATGTGTCCGGCGCAGGCAGAGGATGGGTGTGTTTCGATGGACAAAGCATGGACCGTCTCAAAAGAATCTTCCACTGAAGTCGTGACCATTTCCACTTCAGATGTATTCCATCTCCCTTCAAGAACCTTTTTTTGGCTGTTGTCGTCCAGAAATCCATTGAGGTCCAAAAAAACGGCCCACAAAAGTTACAACCCCAGAAATATGCAGTTATCTTTGATGTTGAACTGTATCTCATGTCCATTCTTGCCAGGCTAACCTCTAAACAATCAATCTGATTCCCAAAACTAAGGCATTTGGTGGCATTTGCATAAGTTGGCGTTGGTGGTCTCAAGTGTTTAATCTTTACCTGAAATGATTTCATCCCTTATCAGAACCACTCGACAGAAAAGCGCTGAAAGCACCCCATATGTCCAGAAAAGCGAGCTTGCACCCGTCCAAGCACCAGTCTTCCTCGGATTCCCTGCGGAGGTATGGAGCGAGCGACCTGAAGTATGACATCCAATTTCAGTACCTTCGCGTGAAGGCGAGCGGTCGCGGTCGCGGCTCGTCGCAGCCGATGGCCGCGCGGGGTGTCGGAGACCGTCTCTTCTCGTCGCCGGGTTGATGACCGCGCGACCGCGTGACCCCGAGTTGCCGAGAGCGCGACATGGAGTTGCCAGCGAGATGTGGGGGCAGGGTCGGTTTTGAGCGAATCAATTGCCAGGAGGTTGGGATGATTTGGGAGGTCCAGCAACAAGGGCATCGACTGTTTAGATGTTTGCGACTGTTTCGGAAGGTGGCGAGCCAGGTTTCTTCCGACATCAGTCACTGCACGACGTCGTAGGGGGTGGAAGATGGTGGATCCGGGTGCCCCCCTAAAAGGCTGCGGCTAAGATCCCCACCAACGGTTTGACATAGCCCCCTGCGGACCCAGACCACATCGAAGAAGTGGTGAAAGATGTGAAAGGCAACGAATGACGGTTCTGAAGGATGGCACGTTTCAGAATCACTCTCGATCTGCACCTGTTTGTGCTTAGGGCACTTGGAGGGATTTGGAGATTCAATTTGAAGTGCTCAAGAACCCCATGATCCAACTTTCACGATCCAGAACCCCATGATTCCTTTTTTCAGTGGGAAGCTTAGCTCATCTTAGCTCCTAGCCAGAGCCGTGGAAACAATCGGTGGAGGGAATCAGAAACAATATGAAACAACCTGGTTCTTCAAAGTGACCTTTTGACAACCTGGTTTGAGGTCACTTAAGCCTCCTGAGGGTCACGAAAAGGAACCTTCAAAAGGTCAGTTTGAGGAAGCTGGAACCTATGAATGAGCTCTGGACAGGTAGGTTCTATACCTGTCCTTCCAGACATGGATTCTGCTGCGTCTGGCTCACCAGATCCGATCCGGAGCATAGCATAGAAACCTGGGACCCCATCATGCCTTTGGTTTTCAGGGACGTAAGTTATTGATTCCAGGGGCTCTTATTATTAGTGCAAGTCTGAAGCGGTGGCTTCAACATAATGCATCCAAACTCAGCCTAGCCATAGAACATCTGACATCCTCGACCTTCCAATTCTCGTCGCCTTCGAGAATTGGAGCCGGACCCCCGGAGACTCCGTCACCAACTTCCCACCGGTGGCGCAACACGCACCAACCTCCTTCCACCTCCAACTGGCGCCTGCGTGGAGCGCGGACCGGTGCTCGCTTCACCGATCGCGTCCCATGGATGGATCGGCGATCGCCCACAGCGATGATCCCGAATGTCCGTCGATGGAGATCCCCCTGGTGGCTTGGATGGATGGCGGATGGGCCGAGGACGAGGGGCGAGGATTGGACGGGTGGAATCGGTGTTCTTCGCTTCAGGGGATCGCAACATGATCATCCTTTGCTGGGATGGTTGGTGGGACCTTCGACCTTCCCGGATGGGTGCGCTCCGAAAGATTTGGACGAGGACTCCTGAAAAGGATCCCCCTTGGGTGCGCTCCGAGCGCTGCACGGATCCATAGGGTTTAGCGCTACCCTTTTTGGGGCTCCACCTGTTCAAACACAAGATTTGTTGATCATTTTGGAATGTTCTTGATGGTTATATATATAGAAAGCTGATAGAGGCTTCGATAAAGGTACATGGTTGACAAATAGTCCAGTTGTTTTCAAGATGCTTTTTGACAATTCAACTTTCTGACAGTGCCACTCAGATCAGACCTGAAGTGAATTTGACCCACACGGGCCGCAGTCAGTACCAGTACCTTCTTAACAGGCAGAAACTATGACGCTTTTGGATAGAATTCAGGAGCTGCAGGCTGCTACAATATGATCGTATATGATATATGTTATATAATTGCGATTATAATTGATTCTGATATATTTCAATGTGGCTGTGGCTCTCAGTAGATTCTAGAAAATGTATCTCCTCAAGTTCTTGTAGAAATCTATTCAGATATTACGATGTGTCCTCTTCAATTCATGCTGCCTCTTCTGGTTCCTGGACGTCCAGAGCCATGGGCCATCCCTGTCTTCACCGTGTCCAAACACCCTCCAAGTCCCCCAACCCGCGAACTCCCAACCGGGCTCGCAACGTGGGCCGCCCACAGCAGCCCTCCCGCTGAATTCCGCCTATCTGTCTCAGGACCCCGAGCTGGTCCGGGGAGTGCCGTTGCACCACTGCCTGCGCGGCTTGGGCCACCACTGGCGCCGCCAGTCCGCAGGAGCGGACTTGGACTTGAGCGCCTTGGAGGTTCAGTTCAGGCTGCAGTAGCGCGGACTGCGTGGTGCGCGGTGCTGGTTCACTGTTCGTATCCTTGTTTTGGTTCGTGGAAATGAAGATCGTTTTGAGAGCTGGCAAGGCCGACGAGAAGGCCTCGGCAAATTGGACAGATTTCTCACCCAAAAGACGTTCGAGTGCGTCGGATGAGGATCACGTCTCCCTGTGTGAGACTCACCGCTAGTAGCCTTGCGAGCCTTCCTTGCGCGTGTTGAGAAGGGGTGCAAAACAGGTCATGCTCAGTCATGTTCCAAAATAATATGTCAAACTACTTGACAAGGTGATTTCTTGGAGACAGCACCTATCTTTGGAGCCTAGGTGGAGCAGAATGCGAACAAGTGAATGTTGGAGGGTCCAAGAGTATCGCCGCAAAGATTGCTGACAAAAGTAGCAGGAGAACTGGAAAGAGAGCCCATCTACGGTGGTCAAACAGGGAGCACTGTGAGTTTGATGCTTTTAGGCCTAGGTGCTCGTCTTGAGTAGGAAGCCCTTTCTGGGACAGAGCTCCCAATTATGGCCGATAGGTGGTTCTGGCATGTTCTGGCAGCAGGGTCGAGCTAGAGGGTTAGCTTTGCAGCAAAGCATTGGTCACTATATTCTATGCCTTGGTCTACTCATTCCAGAAAGGACCAGAGTCAACTGGTTGTCTTCATGTCCTCGCCAAGCACCAAGTATTGAGCCACACCTATCACCTCTTCTTTTCACAGCTCCTTCGGGGGAATGCGTCTCGAATGATCATGGCTATTTAGTTCAGATACTGCGAGACCAGTATACAATGGATCACGTAACCAGCAATGGATACAGTGCCCATTTCCCATGTTTCTCTGTGTGAGAGAGGATCACCAAGCAGAAACGCTTGATTCAATTCCGTTTGCTTGATTCAACTCCAGCTCCAAAGAGCTCGGGTGCTCTTCAGACACCCTACTGAAGGACCAATGGGACCAACCCTTGCGAGGGCCCTGACGAGTTCGGGGAGCCCTCCGGACCATCGACCTGGTCGCCGTCGCTCGGTCGACCGTCGAAGTCCTACCGTCGCCGTCGTCGCCATCGTCGGAATCCGATCCGCCCGCGGTTTTCGAACAGAAGAACCGCAGGAGCGCGGAGCGCCTTTTTGTAGGGGGAAAAGGGATCACCTCTTCGGGTAACAACGCCTTGGGCTGGTTGAGGACCGAACATGACTGAACGACATTGGCATGGTGGTTTAGGTCGGCCACCCCACCCTGGTTGGTCCGGACAGAGACAACTGGTGGGCGGATTTTTCATTTCCAAGAGGGACCTCGGTGGCGAGAGATGGACAGTCCATCACTTCTCAAATCTCTTCAAGACAAGTTGTCTTCTTCCAAGGTTTCATGTGAGCACCGCAAGAAAACTCCAAAGATGAACTAAGTACCACCATCCAAGAGGATCCAAGAGGTGCCTATAAATAGCCTCTTAGAGGTAAAGGGGGTGTCTAAAAACCACCTGTTGGAACGTGTCATAAGTATTTTGCACAGAACTTAAGATGGTCTTTTTGCGGTTCCGCTTGGTCCTCTTCGTGGCACAAAGCATCGAGCACATGGACGTCCCATGGGCTGACAGGCCAGAAAACCGAGCACATCGACTACTTCTTGAGCCGCCTGGCACAGCTGACTTTGCGGAACCCCCTAACATGAGATGTAGGAGGGTGGGGGAAGCAGCAACATGAAGAGCTACGTCAACTGCGTTTGAGCATGATTTTTGAGAGTTGAAAGATTGGGCTTTGACCCTGTGAACAAAGTCTCCTGTTTCTTAGTGGTGCAGACTAATCCATGAACATGCTCAAGAGTTTCAAGATCAGGACACCGGTTGCGTGAGATGCAATTCAACATTATTTAAAGTATACTGTGTATACATGTCTATACTGTGTTCCCATGGATTTGGACTGCGCTGAGTAACTTGCTAATGTGTTTGGATGCGGGTGTGAAAGATCCCTTATACTTCATCACCTTGGGTTTTGATGAAGAAGCTGCCCAACCCCCAAACCCCCATGATAGTCTCACAATGTCTCACGATATATATCTTACTTAACAGGACCAACGTCATCGGAGGTCATGACCTTGTTGACCCACTTGATCGGAAAGGAGTTGGGACGTCGCATGGTCGCATTGGTGTCGTCGGCTCCCCCCTTCGACATTACTCCATGTCTTGCTTCACTTCCTTCACCCAGGCATCCAGGCAGTTCCCACGATGTCGCTGGGAGTCCCAGTGGTTCCGACTAAAACCACGACCGAACGAATCCCGGAATCCCATGGTTCCTTAAGACTATCGTGGTAACTGCCTGGGATGCACTGGGACCATTAAAGAACCACCGGACCCACCGGAACAACCCACCCGCGCGCATTGCCCCACCGCGTGAGGCCACGATTGGGAGACCTCACGCTTGCTGAAGTGGCTTGCTGAAGTGGTCCGAATTCGGACGCTGAAGTGGTCGGTTCATCCGGTTCAAAGGTTCGCGCAAAAGGGGCCCCCTGGATCCGATTGGGCGCTTTGGTTGGCCGTCCTTGATGTGCCGAACACTCAGAGATGGATCCGATTGGATATCGTATTTGCTGTCCTTATTTGCTCTGCAAACCAGGACAGCTGCAGCGAGTTGAGAATTCGGAAGCTTCCACTCTGCAGCTTTCTCGAATCTTCCACTTCCTTTGTCAAGATGTCGAAGAGGCATGGTGAAAACAAGGTCTAGATTGAACACTTTGATGCATGACTCTGCGCATATTTCCTTGAAGCTCACACAGCAAGCACATGCAAAAAATAAATCACAAACATATTTCCATAAATTTCTGGACTCATATCAAAACTTGCAAATAAACACATTTGGGGGTGCCCCCGTCGCTGGATGTCCTAGAGCTAGATGAGCTGTGAGTGAAAAACTTAACGTGAGTTTATTAGGTATAGACCCGTTTGACCGTCTTCAGGTGGCTGTGCACCAGCCGCATGCACCTGTGTTTCCATCGCGGACGGTCGACGTTCGACATGAGAGCGCAAGGGTCGGGCACCAACAAAGGCTCCCCACGAAGCAAGGGGACATTACATCATATCATATCATTTGCGTCCATTCTAACAAAGGATACAACTAGATTGCACTGATTTGCATGTGTTTTTCCATGCCACCATCAGGCGGAGGTGGAAAGCACATCGGGGACGGCATACTGATGTTTCACGAGCAGGTCCTATCGCGACATTCCTATGAACACCCATATATGAGCACCCCCGTTTCTGTCCTATTTCTTTGACACCCGCCACCCGAACAACGAGCCCTTTTCTCGTTGCGCCGGCGCCGACGTTCCGAGCTCCTCCGCTCCTCCGTTTGGTGCTGAGCTCACCCCTGTGCCTGGCACCGCGCGTGCCCGATCGAGGTGGATGACCTTGCTTGTGATGTTCAACGCTCCGGCCGCAGCAGTTGTGACCCTGATCGCCCCTGGTCGAAGCAGTCACGCCGCCGCTGCTGTCCCGTTCGGAGGGCTGGGTGATGCCTAAGTTGGCGTGCAGACGTAGCTTGAGCTCCTAAGGTCACTGGTGTGATGATTCCCTTTAGTGTCTTTGGCTTCATCCCCTGCCACGTGGCCAGAAAACCGCAGTGGCGGTGGGAAGGTGGGTCTACTGAGACGTAGACGCCGATGGTGCTGCGCGCGGCGGCTGCGCGGCGGAGACGCAACGGATCCAGATGGATCTGACACGAGATGCTTACGTAAATGTTTTAAGGCACCAGTGGAAACCCGAGTTCTATATAGCTAAGCACCTGTTTAGCTGATTTTAGCTGAGGACTAGAAAAGGGCGAATGATGTGATGTGAAATATAGCAGAACCATCTATGAGTAAGTGGGTGCAGAACTTGTTTTTAGAGTTGCCATCCTTTCAATGATCGACATTCTGGCTGAAGCTGGTGGCGAGGTGTCATCGGTCAGAGTTTCCTTCTGTTTCCTTCAAAGGGGGTCTTCCACGGATGGTAACCAATGAGCAACATCCGGAAAGGCCTTTCTGTGATCTCACTAAACCCGTTCAAGCGGTATCGGCAAGCCCAATGAGTGTTTCCAGCGCGATCTGACTGGCCGCATAGAAAGGCCACCGTTGGAAGTCTAAGGATCACACCAGCATCCAGCCGATGGCTGTTTGGCCAGATCCAGAAAGCAAGAGGTGAGAGTCTATTGCTCTTGCCGATCAAACTTGACAACCATTATTCTTTCATATTCTTTCAGATGGTCACGGTTTGGACTTCTTTAAGTCCTTGAATAGCTTGTCAATGCTAACTAACAACACCATCCAGACCCTTTCCACATCTTTCCATGATGAAAACCCAAACTTTCTGAAACTGCCATGCACTTCTGAAAACCATGGCTTACTTCCATCTGTGGTATTATACCAACTCACCACATCTAACAACATCTAACCACTCCATTCATCACACTAAAAACCACACTGATCGCGCCTTCTGGGCCAAGACCAGCTGGTCCTTTGGCAGCCTCTCGTGGGCCATCTCAGCTACCTCATCATGCTCCTCATTTGGTGCCTTGGAGCGAGGAAAAGCGATCGAAGAGGTCGAGGTTCGAGGTTCGCCTGGCTCGAGGTTCGAGGTTCGCACGGCGGGTGGAGACAGGTGGAGACGGGAAAGCGACATAATATATACGAGTACTCGATGGGTAGTATAGCTGTGAGCAGGAACTTTCATTTTTGCAGTTTGGAATTGTGTTGTCATGCGAGCTGCGAGTTGAGTGGGCAAACTACGACATGATCTTTGGATCCGCTTGGGGTTGTACTGTTCAGGGTAACAAGACGTTCTCCCTGCTTTGACGGACCGACGTTGTTTTGACGGTGTTGACCGGTTCCTTGATGAGCAGGGGTTGGAGACAGGGTGGCATTTCGCAAGAGGTCTCATGGAGAGAGTGGGTGGCCTCAAGGAGGATTTTGTTGCTCACTCCATGTGCTTAGTGCTCTGTCGTCCTCAGCTCTTTGAGTATCTTTGGGTGTTGGGAACACCATAGACTGTAGTAGGGTACCAGCATGTGAATCCACGCTATGTATGCTTCCCGCAAGGAGTGACTCTTTTTCAGTAGCTTATATAGGTGATACCCCCCCAAAGCCATCAAACCTTTTTGGTAGGAGCCGTGTCCTAAGTTCCTTCACTTTCTCACCCATTGTCCTAAGTTGCCCTAAGAGCGTTTGCAGGCAAGATTTGCGACGTCTTTGTCGGAAGCCTCTTCTAGTCTTCTTGGACAAGCTGTGTATCGCACAGCGTGAGACTTGGCAGCGGAGATCTCACCAGCTGGGTCTCTAACGAGTAACGGATTTTTATATGATATCTTTTTAGAGGTCGGGGGAAGGGGCAGGTACCAAAAAGGACGTGATTCACAATGAAGGCACAACAAAGAAGTTGATTCACATGTTTAAACACAGTACCCCTGAAGTCCCCCTCAGATGAAGTCTTTTATAAACTTTAGTCCCCTCATCCTCTAGTCCCGTGGCCGGAATGAACAGATTCATCATGTGCCCCCCCAATTGATGCTCCCTTTGTCTCGCTGGTGTTCGTTGGGCCGTCCAAGCAACTTTCTTTAGAATATTGTTTATCATCTCATACACACTCATCCCACGAATTCCCTCGCTCTGTTTTACTTTTTCTCGCCGCGCTTGCGTAAACACAGCTGCTCAAACAACAGCAAGAACAAGTATTTGATGTTAATCAATTCATTTTGATCATGGACACGTAATGATCCTTGGACACAGAATGAAAGTTAATGCTTGACCCGGCTGGAAGCATGTTCTTTCAGAATGAGTTTGCTCTTGATATCTCATCCATTTATTGACTATTCAGTGAATGTCTGAGGCTGGTCCAGATTTGGAAATTGGGATTTTGTTGTTTGTTTGGCAAACACACGGACACATACAACAACGCGGGTCAACACGTGCCAAAGTTCTAGACAATGGAGCGGGGCTGTTCATCTTGTCATAGAAGCTTTGATATGTTGTGCCTGGTTCCCCAAAGCTCCAAAACACTTAACCAGTGGACGTGCCCCCCCCATGCCAAAGACTTTATTTTCCAGAATACTAGTTGGAAAACTCATGAAAACCTTTCTTCGTCCAGGATTCCCTCCAAGGCTTCCCTACCTACTCGAGCTACCCGGCCCCAAGATGCTGCTCTTCTCTCGGAAATTCCAATCCAGGACCTCTATCTCAAGGAGCGAGGCATCCGTGGCCTCGGCAGCTTCTTGAAGTGCTCACGGTCCTTGACGATCTTATGGTCCCCCAGGCGAGGGGTTCAGCCGTTCATGTTCACCCGTGGCGCGTTTTGGGGGGGATTTCTGCGAGGTGTCAATGGTGCAAATGGTGTGTGAAGCCCTTCGAAAGCAGGATCAGCCACACAAACCACACGCCGTGCTCTCCGAGGACGCGTCCGTACCTCGATTTCGGGTTCTCTAATATGTTGTCGCCTGTTGGGTCGTCAGTCATATAATTAGGAGGTTACTTTTTTTCAAGAATGGCGCCATAGCCAGACCCTTGGCTCGATCTTCTCAATGCCTTTGGGAGAACCGGATAACCAAGCTGCTCCCGGACGAGAAATGCACCCGTGATGGCAGTGGTTCGGCACCGATCAGATCCAGTGGACCATGATCCGATCCCCTTGTTTCCATAAGCCTTTCAAAAGCAGTTGGGTGGGTTTTCAAGGTCGAAGGGGAGGGGTGGGAGTCTCCACCTGGTTGGGGTGCTGATGTTTTTGTCCTCTCCCAACAAAAGCATGGTGATATTAGATATCATATCCCAAAAATAGAGGAAATCGGTTCATTTGATGCCATCGGCCTGCCATGACCCACACCCTCAGCCGGTCTCGGTTCGCCGGTCGAGTTCTTTGGCCAGGTACTTCTCCCGTCTTTGGTGCTGCTACTGGTCTTGTAAGGGGGGCATTCCTCCCAAGAACAAGCAGACGAGAAAGAATCAGCGTTCGCTGGTGAACAGAGGGATCCATCGAATGGTTGATGAGTCAGAGATTGGGAACACCAAGCCATATAGTTGTGGAAGAATGGCTGTTTGATGATGCAGCTGCCTTACAGTAGGTTGGAAAAGGACATTTGCACAGCATCAATCGCCCCATGGTTGGTATCAGAGACGCGCACTGGTTTCTCCGCACCATTCATTGGCAGGACTTCTTCGCTTCTCTCTTGAGGTCTAGGACCTTTTCTGAAAGGTTTGGGTTCTCATGAACAAATACATATCTATCTGGCGCTTGACAGAACTGACCAAACGAGACCGCATCCACTACTTCCAAGTCTGAAATCCCCTGGTAGGAAAAAGCACTACTATCTCGGGACTGAATGCAATTGTGAACCATAAGTTATAGTGAACATCCCAAACATGAATCAGCACAGTTTCTTTGCAAATGTTCACCTCCCATTTTAGTACAATTCTTGTACCTTGTAGGTCGACCGATCCACTTCTTGCGGCCAATTAAGGCTATGAGGTGGCCTCTTACCTGAAGGATGAGAGTCATGCTTCTGGCAAAGCGAAGCCTATCGAACTGCACCCGGCCTGTACTAGTCGACGCGTGCGAGAAGGTTTGACTGTCCAACTCGACCTACACATATATAGGAATATCCCTTGTTGGGGACCCCCCGGCGATCCTACAAAGTTGTAGTGTCTTACTCAGGACATGTCTTTGTCCCAGTTTTGGCCAACAACATCGAGTTCTGTTTTGCCGAAGCTAGACTGACTCGTGTTCATTAGGATCATTAGGGTCATCGCCCAGTCTTTGCAATGCAACACAAAGGTCCAGATCCCGTTGAACAGCCATTGCCTTACGGTCGAATGTAGAGAGAAGATGCCCTGTGGATTGGAAGGAACCGCAATTTCACATCATGTGAGCAGCTCATGTAGAGGGTATCATGTGATTCGTGATGGCGCTGAAAGCGCCAATCTTGGGACAACAGGATGTTTTTGCATGATTTAGCATGTTTGAGGCAAACTATAGCAGGTCCAGGTCCATACCATTCCATACCGCATATCATCACCAAAAAGGTTGCCCACCAGGTTATCGCTCGCGTCGCGTCTCGTCGCGATGGTCCATGTTCCTTAGAACATCAAGTGGAGCCTCCGGTCGGTCGATCGATGGTGCCGAATCTGAGGATTCCAGTCACCATGGCTGGGATGCTCCTGATTGCTTCACTCATGGCCGGGGTCGCCGAGACCACGGTCCGGTTGGGCTTCACTGGAAATGGGGGTTTTCTCCTGCGCAGGGCTGTGACCGACTTGGCTGACTTGGGGGACTTGTTACCTTTGTTTCTGGAGCCTTCATCACTTTAGAAGATTCTCACTGAGTTCACTCTTATACATAACAGTTCTCTCGTAAGAGGTCAAATGTAGTACAATGAACTGTTCCTTTGCGGACTTCCCAAAAACTGACCTAACCCATCCTAATCCATCCATAACCTTAGCCTGACCTACCTAACCTCTCGACTCTCGCCCTTGTGTGGGAAATTCTTTTTTCCCCAAGGCGTCCATGTGGCTCTTGGCGCTTTGCTGCCTCATGAGCTTCGGCTCGATCGCTTCGGAGCTCCTCCAGGAGAGAGATCCGAGGGGCCCACGGTTTGACACGGCGGGAGGCCAAACAGTTTGGGTGTGTATTCGAGACATCCAACCAAGGGGTAGACCTGTAGTGGTATTGGTCTATTTTTTCCGTCTATGTTCCTTCTTGCAACGACCTGGGACCATCTTGGTGGAATCGTGCCTTGCGAACTGGGGGGAAATGGGACCCAATCATCGATATCTGCCCTTCACCGGCTGAAAAAGCGCTCAGAAGATCCAGGTGGCCTGGTCGCACTGATCTAAGCCCTGGCTGTACTCTTCTAGGCCCTACAGTCGGGCCACCTACAGTGCCCTACGGCTCACCAACAAAGGTAGTGAAGCTGGCACTCAACTGTTCAGGGAAAACATGCCCTGCATCTGGGAAACCATGCCATCCCATGTTAGGCGGACCAGATTGGTGCTGGAGTTCAAGACTCAACCAACCCTTTGCTTGGTTCTTCCGGTATCATCAAGTCTGCCACTGGCAGACCTGTAAACAGGCGAACGGCGAACTTGGAAGAAGTTCGGAGTGAATTTGATGCTTCCCCAACGCCTGTGACTTCTTTCACAGAGGATCGGGTCCTCTTTGAGCTCTTTGGCAAAGGCACGCCTGACAACCCGCACGCGTGCGCCGCGGGTCCGCGGGTGGGGAGCCAGGTCCTTGGTGCGCCACCAGATGCGCTCCGTGGTTCTTTGTGCTCCGTGATGTTTACAAGTTTGGGGGAGTTGACCCAGAAGTCTTAAGGCAACACAAGTCCGGAATCACGCACCACAACGCATTTGGGTGAAGCATTTGGCTTCGCATTTGCTTTCTGGGTTCATGTTGGCTCAGAAAGTTGCAGAATGTTTGGGCTCAGACCGTTGGGCCATGAGTTTGTTGGGCAGCGGACCTCCGCGGACGTGTACGTGAGAGAGAGGGGTCCAGGACCGACGGGGCGGCCTGAGGGCCGGACACCCTAAGGGCCTGGTGCTGGGTGTGGTTTACTCAATCAAGGATTGCAAGAGCAAGCAGTATTGGGTTGATTGCACAACATATTCCTCGTCCAGTCTGTCAGGCAACATCTTCGTGCCATTTGCGACATACTTGGCACTGGGTTACACAAGCCTATTTGAACTTCCAGAACATCTCAGTGAGTTTCGAGTGCCTTAACTGGACTTGCCCAATTACCGAATTGGTTGGATCGCGGGCAGGGTCCTTTTCATTCCTTTTCCCATACTGTTTGTATATAGTATGGTGTAGTGCATGGTGTATAATTCGTTATTGTGGTGAGGATATGTGAGAATCATTTTGCGTCAAACCTAAGCAGACTTGGAACATCCTGGAACCGATTGCAGCCACGGAGTGAACGTAGCTTCCAGAACCAAGGTGCAAGAGACCCGATGCTTTTGCTGCTCCAACCAGCATCGACACCCCTTCAGCGATGAAGAGCTCCCTTGCGACCGCGAGCTGGTCTTCGCCACGCTCCAGAAATGGTTTGGATCAGCACCCTTGGATTGATTAAAACTGCTGTTTGAGCATGTTTTCTGGAACCCTAAACCATGGAACTGGATGTCAAAACGGGTGGTTTGTGGGTGTCGGGGTATGGGTTGCAGAAAAGCCTGGCAATCAGAAAAACCAGTGACCGAAAACAGGAAGAAATGATCCCATGAGATGGAGACGAGGGGCACGAGATGAGATGAATAAGAGATGATAACATGTGCATCGCCGACAACATGTGCATCGCTGTGCATCAAACCAATGGACAGCCTCAGCTAGAGTGACCCTTAGATTGCAAAAACTTTAAAGTAATTTCTAAATGAGTCAGACAAGGCAACATGTGACATACGCTAATCGCCAAGTCATACAAGAGGAGAAGCAAGTATGTGGGATGACACTAGACTGTTGTTTGTGTGTGTGTGTGTGTGTTCAGTTGATCTTAGCGTTTGATTGGGCCATGGCGGTTGAGTTTGCCTCCTAGCCCTGAAGAAGACCCAGTTCAACTCCGTTCGTCGCTCCAAACAACCCAATGGGGTGAGGCCCTGCAAGCCCTTGGGGTGACCACCAGAACCAGGCACCCGAGGGTGAAGAGGACGAGGAGTACTTGGATCGATTCAACCTCTTGGTCCAAGAGAAGTTCCACTGCTGCAGAGATGGGGTGTGCGTCGAGGGGAACGCATGACTGCTGAGTTGATCCTCCACATTTGATTGAAGCCTTTTGCCCGTGAGTTGTGCGTGGCGCACCTGTGTGTACCAAAGTAGTTGACCATTCAGTAGTCGATCATTTTTTTCCCCTCTCTCTATGCCACCATGTGTCACCCCACAACCTTGGCAGTTCCTTTTGAATCCAAGGTTGAGCAGTCGAATGTCCAGCACTGTGGGAAGGGGCCTGCCGCCTTTACGCCACGTCCTCTCCACGGTTTGCGTGGCTCCGGTCCCTTTCTATTCCGTCTTTGCGCCTTAGCTGCGACCGGTGGTCGCGGTGGTCGAACCGGGTCGAACCGGGTTCGAACCGGGTGGCGATGGTCCGGTTTGGAAGATCATGAGGATGTGGAATGATGTGGAGATATGTTTTTTCATGCAACTGATCTTCAAAGCTTAATGGTACAATATTGATCTATGCAATGTAAAACATAATATTATAACTATATATATATATACACATTGATCCCAAGAAGACAGAAGAATGTTCTTCACAGGTGACCCATGTCAGGAGGGTCTATCACAGGGTGGTGTCTACACATGTTTGCACTCATGTGGGATTGTGTGGGTCAACCCTGGTCAGCAGCGGTTTTCACACCCAACTGCCTTGCTCGGAACTGGTGGTCGATCGGTGCCTCCAATCCAATTCCAGCACCTCATCAAGCCAGCAGCTTGAGGAAGCAACTCCAGCCTCGCTCGCTTGAAGCGGTTCGCTCGTCTCTTACGAGGAACCCCACGCATGCCGCATGCTCTTGCTCGGGCGAATTCGTCGGTCTCGCCATGGGACGGAGCAAACATCGACGTCGCAGATGGATCCATCGATGGATGCGACGTCCCATGCGAGGTGACCATTTGGTTGTGGGAGCTGATGCATGGCGAAGAGGAAGAAGAAGAGATGGAGTCGTCCCTGCGTTGGACCGAGAACCTGCTGGAGCTTCTGGCGCGGTGGGTCCGTTTGGTGTCCGTGAGTCCGTTTTTTGGGACGCAGGTGGTGGTGGTGGTGGTGGTGGTGGTGGTGGTGGTGGTGGTGGTGGTCGACTTTCATACTTTAGCTCGCATGGCTGGTAGCTCAAGGTTTGATCCAGGCCAAGGCTTGTTTTGACCCAACGGAAGCTTTGTATGAAGTGGAATGGACCATAGTTCTCGGGAAAACTTGTTCAGTTCCGAACCTGAATCAGGAAATCCATCCGCTTTTCAAGCCAATCCTACCTCTATGGGCCCCCCCACATAATCTCCTCCACCTATTAAAACCTCCCCCCCAATTAACAAAATCTCGGGTGCATTTTTTCAAAAATTAATGTTTCCCTGAAATCGGGGTTGTCCAAAATAGGGTCAGTGGGAGAATCCTTAAGTCAATCATTGATTACCCAAAAGTCACCTACTATTGAACTCGTATCAACAATTTATTGAAACAACCTCCAGATCGAAGGTCTTCCTTTTCCCCTTACAAAAACCTTTATTAACATAAGTATTCTTCAGTAGACTAGCAACTACAGCTTTCGAAAGGTGAGTCCGTGCCATTGGCGGAAGGAACACCTGCTAGTGTAAACGCGGCGTGTCATGGTGGATAGACAGGGTGGACAGAGGTGAGCAGTTAGGGTTGCTTTTGGAACCTAATTTAAACAAAGTCCACCAAAATCGTCCATGGCTCATGGCTCCCATATCCATGCTTGTCGGGTCTCCAGTCCACCGGTCGCCTGCAGGGGCCACCTTTGTATGGCATCTTAAGCCTCTTAGCGATGGTCCTGCTTTGCCGCCTCGTCTTCCTGGCGCGGAAGCGCTTGGGGCTTCCCAGTCGCATCAGGTGGCTCACACGAGACACTCGGAGGCAGAGTTGGTTGGTATCGAAATTTGTGGAACACATTTCTACCTACAAAGCAAAACACCCCATACACTCCATGTATGGACTATATGCCTACATTGACCCTCAAACCTCCCCAATGTAGGTAAATCTACCATACATGGTGTGTAGCAACACACTAACACAAGTTCTAGGCTCCTGGATGCACCACGTTTTGGACGATATACCACGTGTATATATATATATATATATATATATATGGTATCTTGCGTCCCTAGGTCGTTTTGGTGTCCTCCTGTTTTCGATTCTCGCCTGCTGCGTGACTTTGGGTGGGTTATATACGTACACACAGAGGTAGAACATGGTCTATGTCAGACAATGGGTCTGTTTGAATATGGTTCGTTTCAGCCCTCAAAATGTGCCATTTGGATTTTGATTTGCCTGTCATTGCGGAGTTTGGGTCACCGACTTGTTGAGATGGTGATTCCTGAGGTATCATTGGCTTCCCTCAATGTAAAGTCTTTAGTGGATCGGAGGGGAAGACGATTAGCTCAGTTAGTGACGTGGGCAAATCTCTGAACACCCAAAAGGTTGATCGCAACCTATAACCTATAGGAAGAACAGAAACGTGCTGAAGGACCCACGAAGAGATCAGGTACGAGCACTAGGTACGAGCACCAGGGTCTCATTGACTTGATTGGTCACTCTTAAATCCAAATTGCCATTCTACTCCCGAGTAGCACGTCAGCTTGGAACACGTCGACTTGTTGTCGGAGTGCTTCGGAAAAGGCACGTCAGGGAAGGTTGTTTGGCATCAACGGGCTTGTATGGCCAATGGTTTGTGGCCTGCTCCCCAGACTGCAAGAATAGTAGAGCCTATTAACACGATGTTGTGCAGGCCCCCATTCAGAACTAACAGGTAAGTTAGGTTGGATCCAATGCATCAACATGTATGACATGTATCAATTTTTCCAGTGGCGGCAGGATCTGGAGGTCTGTGTGCATGTTTGCGGATGCAAATCACCCTCGATCGTCCGCATCCGGAACTACACTTGACAGAAATCCACGCGTGCCGCAAATTTTCTTTAAGAGGATTCCCATGTTCCAATCATTCTGATACCTTAGCCACACAGTCAAGGTGATATCTCCGGGGTGGATGATGCCCAGCAAGAAGTCAGGAGGACCCAGCGTGGGGGGTCTCCTAATTGTGTGGTTCACCTTCCACGCCAAAAGCCCAGCAGGTGAAGGCCGATGTGCTCAGTCAGAATCGAAAAAAACTTTCCGCTCAGGTGCTGCTTTCCTTGCTCCTGAGCCCACTGTTGGCGCTCGTCTTGAGCTTCGCTGTGTGGGTACCTTGGAAGGAGCACAGACGACGCAAAGGAGGAGGAGTCCCAAAGCCTTTACGAACGCAGAGACTCACTGAGGCCAGATTCATCAGGCCAAAAGGATAGGAGATGGAGATCATTTTCATAGATGTGTTCTCAACACAACGCACAGGGCTCATGAACTATTGAAGTTCCTAAAGCAACATTCACAAAGACTTCTGATGTCATGGAAGTCCCTGACATCAGAAGATTCAAGTCTTTTGTACCATTAGAAGTACCTGGAAGTACCTGGAAGTACACTTTTCAAGGTGTGGGCAAGTCGTGGAAACTCCGAGTCGTGTGGCTCGAGTCGCGGACGATCCGAGTCGGCGTCGAAGGTTCACCGATCTTCGAGTCGATAGGGGTGAAAAACGCATGGCAGCTGCCAGGTGGATGGGGAATTGGATTGGGCTGTCAATTGCATTGGGCTTTAAAAACATGGTTTTGACCAGTTAAGTTCTATCAGCTGAAATAAGAAATCAGAAGTTCTTGCTCGTTCGTCCTTGGATTCTTTCTTGGAAAAGGACACAAATTCACCAACTGGTAAACGGTCAATTCAAGAAAGAACATTCCCAGAGACTCCTGCAACATCCTGTAACCCTTTTCAACCACCCAAACTGGTCCGTAGATATGCCAGTAGAGTTTCATCCGTTGGAACTGGCACCCTTTCAACCCCTCTCCCCCTGGTGCCTCGCGTGCTTCTTCTCACGTTCCCTTCGAAAACCACCGCTTGATCTGAGACCGGCCGCGACCCAGGATCCCCTCTTTGTGGTGGAAGGCCGCGTCAATCGCCGAGTCGATCCTAGGTTCCGAGTTGATCGACGGTAGACATTGAGACTGGCTGAGCTGCCGGTCTCACAGGCTGGGGCACAGCTAGTCTCACAGGCAGAGATGTAACAAACAGCACATAAACACCAAAGGGACGGCATGTTCATGAGCGGTGAAGAACATTGACATTTGGTCAGAGAATGTCAGTATAGTTCGATATTGTTTTGCAACTTTTCTTGGTCAGAGAGCTTGTTTGCGGTCCCTGATTCTACGTAGTTCGTCTGTGCTGGCGACCGCTTCTTCCAGAGTTTCGTTCCCAATTTTGGCAGAGGAACCTGCCGTGCTGACCGGGGAGCTACGGGTTCCAATCCTGTGAACTCTTGTGGAGAGAAATGGCCTCCGTAAAGCTGCTAAAGCATGCCAAACAGACCAGGCAACCGGGGAGGTGTATGCCTTTTTGGAGGAGATGGGTGCCCAGATCCACTCACTGGATGGGACTCAAAACCAGTCCAGTGCAGCTGCTGGTAGCACACCAGAGTCGATTTCACTGGGAATGGAATTGCGATGAATGGGGCAGAATATTTTTTTCTCTAGTTGGGTGCTTCTGCCTCTAGCACTTTGGTGGTGATGCGATGGAAGTGTGGAACATTGTGGAACATGTCTATTCTTAGTCTTGGTTCTTGTCATCTAAGAAGACTGGTCCATATCAAGAGGTAGTTTCACGGTGTGGCTTGTTTCTTTCAAAAGAACTTCACTGGCAGACCATCCACTTCTCTCTTTGGTCTTGTTCTTCGTCTACCTGTTCGTGGCACTGGGCACCTTCTGCCTGCCTTCTTTCAGCTCCACAGGCTGGCCTGGCCGGGGCGTTGGTGCCATCTTTGGGTGTTTTTGTCGTTTTGGCCCAACATCTTCATACTCGTAGCATCAGTGTTTATAGATCAGTTTTCAAGCAACTTACTCCAATCACAGGTGAACAAAGCGGGGGGGGGCAGACTCAGGCAGACACAAGTACGCCATGACACAAGTTCAGGCAGACTCGTTGGACACGTGTTTAAAGCTCAAAGGATCGCAGAAAACCTCTTAGCATATCTGAGGGTAACAGTATCTATCTATATAACTATATGTGTATATATATACAACTTATATCAATCTATAGACTATAGAGATGCCGCCAACAGGTAAAAGCATCATTCAATATCATTCAGCTCTCGGTCCTGTCTTGGTCGGAGGATTGCCTTGTGCGGCCAAAAGGCTTTAATGTGTTTTTTCTTTTTTGCGACCGCCGTCCAGGGTGTCGCCGCATCGTGAGGGTGAAAAATTCATCTCGGTTGGAGACTTGGAGTGGTGACTGTGTTGTCCAAGGTGTCTCAGAATATGAGTCTATGAGATCTTTATGTCAGGCAGACAACCGATGCGGCCCCGATGCTTAAGCCCGAACTGGCCCCCTTGAACAACCTGGGTTTGTTTCAACATCTATTTTAACACGTTTTAACTACTGTATATTATATGTATATCCACCCAATCGCCCTCTTGTTGGCTCTCAATCAACCATGTGAGGGTGCCAACTGTTGGGCTGTTTTCGACGACGCGGGAGAAGGACGCTTTCTCAACTCAAAGACTGTGGTGACAAATTCTCGCTCTCAGATCACCGTGGTGACTTGCTTTGGATGCGAAATGAATGTTCGCTATCCCGTGCATGTTTTGAGCTTTGGTATACTCATCTTAGACATCTTAGACACCCTTTCGCAGATCAGATACCAAAAGCACAGGCTACCCGTCGCAAGAAGGGTGGGAATGTTCGTTGGCTGTGTTCGCTATCATCTTCATGTGCCCTTGGCGCCTTCGTCCAAAGTGATGTGGACGACGTCGTCCACCAGGTCCGTGGTGGCCACGGAGCAAGTCGGCGCGTGGCAAAGAAGAGCCCAGCAGCACCCTCGTGCATGAGGTGGGGTGGAGGGGACATCGGTCGGTGGAATCAAACAGTTTTGCTTTGAAAGGGGTGCTGTGTTGAAAGACATCCAGATACAGAAATACAACTGCAAAATCTTGGATGGACCACGACAACAAACCTGCCAAAAGTGATTTTTGTGCGAGTAAGCTCCAATGCACCTAGTGGTTTTGAAGTTCCAAAAGGGAAATGGCATCAACCCTTAGAGATGGCTTACCGAGACTTCCCTGAAGTTGTTATGGTACACCAGGGAATTGCTTGTGTTTTGTATCCACTTGTCAAGACCACGAAGACCACGAAGATCAACAATCTCTTGAGACATACACGAAGCGGCACAGCAGTGATAGATTTCGAGTTTATGGGACAACACCTGGGAACACATGTTAAGTGACACGAACCGTACGTGCAGATGGGCAAGACGGCCATTTCATTTGACAAAGGCTTCAACATGTTATACAGCATAGTTCTGCAAGGGCGGACTCACCTCAGTGGTTGATAGAGTGCCTAACCCTTCAAAAACTGACCGGCTTGTGGGTGATGTTCTCGGACCACTCATGGAATCCGGACCACTTGCAGCGAACAGAGAGTTTGTGAAACTAGACTAACAGGCTTTGGGTTCTGTACAAGACAAGACCTTTCGTTCCACATGGGTGACAATGCGATCTGTATGTTGCTGTATGTTGCTTTGAGCCAGGATCGTTGTCCTCATATTTCGATCAATGATATCAGTTAGTTGAATGATCAGTTAAGGGTTGTAGTGATGTAGTACAGAGCAGAAACCAACGTCTTGTAGCCAAACGGACAAAATAATCTAATGGCAAAAGACGTTTGTTCTTCCAGTGAGCTTGGTAGGAATGTGTTTCGGGTGCCAGGCAAGGGCCAGGCAAAACGTCCAAATAAAGTCTTTTCTCCTGTCAAAACCAGCTCACAGCCATCCTTACCAAAGCCACTCCATGTAATTATATGGAACAGTTACCTACATTGTAGTGTCAATGGATGTTTTCTGCCGCAGAGAGGTTCCCAACATGTCGATCTTGGAGGAAGAGGATGAGTACGTCTCAGAGTATTTTTGATGACATATTCAATCATATCTTCTTTGTTTTGACGACGTGTTTTCTATTCAGCTGTGTGATTCTGCCGTCTTGGGGGCGCTGGAGGAGTTCTGCTTATTGTCATGGGGCGGCAGCTAAAAGAACTCGGACTTTCAGTGTCGATCTCCAAACCCACCTGAAAAAACCTGCCAAAAGCAATCTTCACTTACAGATGGTAGTTCATGGTTTTTCAAACCTTGACTTCTGTTTGACTATAGGTTTCTGTTTGACTAGGTTTCATGATGTTTCTTTACGTAGGGAAGGTGGTTCTGGAGGTCGTTCTGGAGGTTCTGGAGGTAGTGGCCGGTTTCGAAGCAACAGACCACCACAGATCCCGAACACGGGTCCTTGGGAGGAGACATGAGGCGACTCAGTAGATGTGAAGGCGGAGAAGAGGGGCAGGTTCTCGAGGTGTGTATTTTCATACCGGTGGCTATTGTGGTCATCGTTTAAATCCACACAATGAGCTTTTGCCCTAGCCAACTCTAGCTACAAGAACGGCCACCAATCACCATCGCCGGTTTCTGGCTCCTTGTTCAGACAGCTGCTGCTGAGTCCAACTCTCCCGGCTCTGGATCCGACGTTTGGGTGAGTCCAGGCGAGTCCATGTTTTAAGCTCACCGGTTTTTCCGGTGCAGTCTGAAGAGGCCCGGTCTTGCCTAGTCGCGACGGTGTGTCTGTGACGTGCTTTGTGCCTAGAGGCCTATAAAGGAAGATCATGAAGATCCAGTTGCCGAACCTCCTCCAACAAGGTTGCATTGACCACGCCGGATGGATATGGAGATCATATCGACATTGCTAAGTGGGTCCACACGGGGTCAGCACGTCTGCCCCCGAAATAATTCTGGACCTGACCCTCTGTTGGGTCCAGAGGCATCCAGTTAGGACACACTATGTGGCCTCTAGATTGACCATATTTGACCCACCAAACTAGAAGAGGAAAAACATGGGAGAATACCTGGACCCTCCTGTCGGGGTGTCCAATGGACTACCCCACACTACCTATAGGCTTCCAGAGAGGGCACCCCGACAGGAGGGTCCTGGTATAATGAATAGATTTGACCTCCAACATCAGCAAACTCGGAACGCTTGGACGACTGTGAAGTATTCGTTTTTGGCGTCAGAGAGCAGACTGGCCGCCCTGGCCGCTGAGGACAACTCAGGGAGAGTGGCCGCTCACACACCGCTCACACACCTTTCCTCTGTGAGTCGACTCACGCGAAGCTCGTGATGTTTCCTCCACTTTCCGATGGCTTCCTGAAAGGAAGGCCATGGCTCGATGGGGAGAGCAAAATCGATTTTCTTGCCCTTTCAAACGACCCTCGGCCCGCAGTACCCCCTGCAGTACCGTCTGGACCCCACACACACACACACACACACACACACACCGACTGAGTCTCGGGAGTCACTACACATTCTCCAACTGAGCTCACGATGATTTGGTGCTTCAACTTGGTCAAAAGTGAACATGTCCTCCATGGAGGACGTGTAATTAGAGTATTAGAGAACGAACGACTTGCTGACTTGAAAGGAGCCTACTATGCACCTTTGAGAGAAGGCTATAACTATAATTGTATGTCCTATACGTTTGTTATATTTTTGGGGGGGGCTGTTTTCTTGGCTCAAATCAGTGTGTATATTGTATATGGACCCACGGCGGGCCCACTTGGGTGCCCGCCCACGAGAGAGCGAAGAAGAGGAGCGAAGGCAACGACTCGAGCTCCAAAACCACGGGAAGGTCTTGAAAATCGAAGAAAAGACATGAGGATCACCCGGCAAGCTGGCGAAGAACAAGGACATCATAGGTCAATCCATCGTCCCTGTAACCCACATCATCCACGAAGGTTTCTTCTCTTCACCTTGCTTTCCAATCGTTCTGATAGTGAATCTGATTGTGAAGGGCTCTTCAAAACAAGTCGCCAGGCCTTTCTAGCCCAAAACTCGCACGCTTTGCGCCCTTTCTTGCTCGCCTATGATCTGAAAATACGAGCATTGCCATGGGCCATGAATCCAACATCGAGGTGGCTGAGCAATCACATCCTGTGGGGATTGAGTCCATGGAGATTCCCCTGGAGTCTCGATTCTGCAACGCGTTCAAGCGCGTTCCGCATACGCGCAGCGCGTTCCGGTGCCCTCAAATGCGGTGCTGTGTTATCAATTAAGACCCTCAAGATGTTGTCCAGTGCAAACGCTTCTAAGAAAGCCTCTCAAAAGGGGTCTCTCGAAACGACATTTCGTCAGGGCATGCCAGAGAAATCTTTGGAGATTGGATGATCTCCAAAAGCATTCATAAGATATTTGGTGCAAGGTCCTACAAACGAAAAGATTCGATTCTGCACATTTTTGCACTTGGTGATTCCTGAGTCCTTTTTGGTTGAACTCTTGTGATTCTCTTGTGTGGCTCCAACAGCGGACCGAGCTGCAGCTTCATTGTCCACAAAAATGTTCGTGCAGCCCTTTCAAAGCACGGGGTCGATGCAGAGAAGTGCTTTGCGTTGACACAGACGAACCATCGGGTGTTTATTTCTACTCTTTGACATGTTCAATTTGTTTCAGGCGATGGTGATGTCAGCCTTGACCCGGTCGAACTCGGATGGGCGCGCGTTGCCCACGTCGCGTTGTTCGTGATCGGCGTGATCGTCGTGTCCACTGAGGACCCAGAGTTGGTGCGAGGGGTTCCCCTGCGCTTTTGCCTTCATGGGCTGGGGAAGTACTGGAGCATGACTCGAAAAGCAGACTTCGATCTCAGTGACTTGGATTGTGGGGTCGATCTTGCATGGGCATGTGGGAATGAAGGGGTCATCGGACAACTGCAGGAGATAGTGTTCCGAGAAATTGGACTTCGCTGCAACCATTCAAAAGATGTGCTTCTTCCTTTTTCTTTGATCAGATCAGATTCTTGTTGAGATTTTCTCGGTTGGGTAGACGTTGTTCTGGATCACGTCGTGGTCCGATGTGACCGACTGCAGAAGACTGAGTAGACCTGATGACGCTTCCGAACCAACCATTTCAGCAACCACTAAGAACTAAGAACTGCTGTGTGTTCCATCGCAATCAGCAGAAACACCAGCCTCTAACGAGTGCAGGTATAGGATGGATGGTAAGTAGGATGGTATGTAAAGTAAAGGGATGTAAAGGGTATACATCTAGTGGCCATAGTATAGTAAGATAGGCTGGTAGGATTTTGCAGTATCCCTCGGTATAGATCGCCCCGTTTAGTTTCCAGCGCGGCGTTTGCTCGTCCGTCAGGCGAAAAGACGGATCACATCGACCACTTCTTGAGCCTCCCGGGCGAGAAACCACCGGAACCGAAGCAATCGCTGGTCGATGTCCATCAACGGTATACATGTCTGAAAAATGAGTCCGATATGAGTGGAGTGTTGTGATGTGATGGCTGGTTCTGAGTGGTTCCATGCTGCAGTCAGAACCTAGGGTATTCTGCTGGATAAATTTCGGAAGAGGAAGTTGAAACTGCTGTAGCTCAACGTAAACGAGTCTAAACTATTTCAAATTCATCCTGTGGCGTCTAGGTATGGATTGCACACCTAGTTGGAACCCACCTCCGTGACCTCAAAGATCAAGATGGCTTTCCAGAACGAAGCGCCCTGGTTCTAGTTACAAGTGCGCAAGGGGCGATTTAATTTGTCTTCCCTTTTTGATTTCACAAAAGACACCAATAACCTCCAATAACTAAGTCCTTTCCTTTTTCTCTCATCCTGATCCCTCAACAGCCAAAGAACACGGACCCAGAACTCTAGAATTGCTCCAGACCCATCACGAATCAGCTCGACCCACCGGTCTCACCATTGGCAGACCGCGACACTCGCGCGACAGACACACCGCCCAAGGCGACACAAGGCTCGCCCAACCGGACCTCGACCCAGGTCATGATTGGGGCACCTCACGAAGTCTGAAGGTGATGACCTTATTGATCGTCTTCAATAGCTGTGCTGCTGCAGTCGCCACCTCCCTGGTGACCTGGTGATCACCAGGTTAGTGAACCTATAGTGACCTCCGGCCCGGGGGGGGTGGATGTGTCTGAATATATCACCGGTAGTATTAGTCCCGGTGACCTGCGGGGGGGTTGATGTATTTGTTTTCTTGCCAAACTGGGTGAGTCCCCCGTCCAGGGGGAACAGTTAGTAGATGTTATAGATGATGTTAGCTACATATCTAATAACATCTACATATCTACTATGTAGATCTTAGTAGATGTTAGATGTTTTTACATGATGTTAGATCTGATGTTAGTAGATGTTAGCTGATGTTAGTTGATTGATGATTCCACGGTTGGGAGCCGCAGATTTGCGGACATTCGCAAAATGGCCTTTTTTCCTCCGAAGAAAGCAAACAAGCGCGGCTCGATGGCTGGTGGCCTCAGGGGTTTGGAAGCAACAGCAAAGAAGGGAGTCGAAGGCGAAGGGAGAGCCAGAGCAAAGCGAAGGGAGAGCAACGATGATTTGAAGGATTTTATATAACCTTGAATTTCATTCAGGCATCGATTCCATGTTTACTGCGATCTGCTGAAGGATATTGAAGGAGATCATATATATATATATATATATAATTTGTCCTCCACCAAGGGCATGTTCAGGACTTGAAAGGGTCGATGTGTGTTTCTTTGTGCTTCCAAATGAATATCTTTGGTCGAACCATTCGGTTGACCCATTCCATGCATGCGTCGAACAAACTGGGGAGGGAACTCCAACCACTTCTGTTTGGTGCCCCAAGCTATCCCAGGTGGTGCTGCTGCTCTCCATCACCGCCTCAACTGGCCTCATTCCGCCAAAGCTGTGGCCTTGGCTGCCACTGCCGGGCTTCCTTTGCTATGTGAGCATCCTCCTTTTTTGGATCCCCGGCTGTGCTTGTTCGAACGGTGGAGGACGACACGAAGTCGTGACTGTCGACGCACCACACACCGTCCGACACCGTCCCAGTAGTGGACCTTCAAGGGGTGGACCTTCATGGAGGTCCCTTAGTAGTGGGCTGGGGCGAAACCAGCCAGGTGACCCCGACATGAAGGTGCTGGTATACTTATATAGGTGGTGTGGATGTGGACTTGGTTCCCAAGGTGGACCCGCATTCTGGGGTGAAACCCCTCATTGCCGCTACAGACCTTGGCAACACCACTGGCAACACCACAGGTGGTCGAGGTAGTGGGCTGCCGAAAGAAGAGGCCGACATGGCGGGCCGAAGTGGCTCACAAAGGATCAAGTTACTCCCAAAGGATCAAAGGATCAAGAAGATTGAAGAGAGTCTTTGCTCCTGGACCATCAACTTGAGACGTCTTGATGTTCATCCACAGTTTTGGTGCCGTTTTTCCACCCAGCTGAACCAGCGCGTTTTTACCGCTTCGCAGATTCTCTCCAAGGCAGGATGTGCGTTTGCTGTGCCGTCGGCCGCTGTTGGCCTTCCTGGATAAGCTTTGTATTGCACAGCATGATTTGCACTTGAAGGACGACGAGATCTCGAAATATCAAGCACCATGCAGAGATGTTGATCAGCTTCGGATCCACAAAGTAGTGGTTTATGCACTTGGTTTTGTTTTTTTGTTGCTATCAGGTTCTAATTCACTGAGGCGGACCCGGTAGAAACTAGCACTTAGAATACGATGCAGTTATGGCGGAGCCGTTGACATAGCACCGTTAGCTTGGAGGCATTTGGAGGCCATCGCTAGTAGGTTGCAGGCCATTGCTAGTTGGTTGCAGGCCATGGCTACTGTATTAGGTTGAAGGCCATTGCCATTGGGTTGGGGGCCATCGCTAGTAGGTTGGAGCCATCGCTATTAGATCGGAGGCCTTTAGGTTGGAGGCCATGGCTATTAGGTTGGAAGCCATCGCTAGTAGGTTGCAGTCCATTGCTATTCGGTTGGAGGTGATGGCTAGTCTCTTGCTCTCGCTTTGCCTGTCTCTTCTATATTCTAAGTGCATTGGCGTAAATTCTTAGTGCATCGAAGCTCCGAATTTCTTTTTCATATGTTGACTACATTCCTTATTCCTCATGTTGAATTCTAACTGGCTGTCCGGGATAGTATATAATTTAAGATTATATATTTATATGGAAACGAGACAAGGGTACAATGCGGTAGGCCAGCTTGGCAAGGGAGGCTTTGTCGAGAAAATGAAGACCACCCATTCTACCTATTTGCGAACTGGGGGCCTAACGCCTGTCACCTAAACTCATTGCAGGCATAGCTAAATCCGCCGAACCACGAAGGCATCGGGGCACTCGCGCATTGCATTCAACTGCTGATCCGTTTTGACCGATCCGTTGAAACTCGTGGCACTCTCCGTTCCGTTTTCCATTTAAAGAAAGAAAGAAAGAAAGAACACACAGCGGATGTCCCCTCGCGCCCCGAGACAAAACATTTGGGACGCGCCTATCTAAGTCTAGTAGATGGCAGGCATATGCCGGCGCCCCGCCATTGCCGCGCCAGGAGCAAGGCATCCGCGGCTTGGGGAGCTTTCTCAGATGCTCCAGGAATCTCAACATCTTGTGGTCTGAGAGGTGGGATCGCTCTCATCCCATCGGGCGCGGGGCGTTGGGGAACGAAGCCGTGAGTTGCGCCGCCGCCTTCAAGGCGGAAAAGGATGAAACATGAGGTCACACCTCGGGGGGGCCGAGGGGGGTTTTCCAGTGTGTGTGTTGGAGTGTTTTGTATCGGTATTTGCATGTAGTACCTGGTGGTGTTGGTGTTCATGCCGCTGTCAAGTCTACACTAGTATAGAAGCTGCGCTATAAGTACCACCAAAACGCATCAAAACGCTTTGTGGTCTCCTAGCCACATTGGCCACACGTCCCGTTCTTTAGGACAGAATGACCTCGAACCCCCGCTTCAACACAGCCGAAGTCTGCGGAGGTATTTCTCCCGCTTGTGGTGCTGCTATGAAGTCGCGGCCTACTTGAAAGAAGGCTGTGAGTGCTGGCTGGGCTCTGGAGTCAGATTCCTTGACTCGAAAGAGCTTGGTGTTGAAATCGATTTGCTACAGCAACCTGACTTGGAGACCCAAACCCCGGGTTTGTACATCACCAAAGTCTTCCGTTTGGCTCCATTTTTCAGGTCCGCTTTGCTTGTACAATCTTGTACAAACAAGTTTGTTCGTCCACACTCTTCCAACATGAATCACTTGGATGGGTTGTTTGGTATTTTAGCTATGTATTTAATTGACCAAACAGCATGCCCGGTGTATTTGTTTGCTTTGACGACTCTCCCCGGCCTGTTCTCGTCCAGGTGGTTTTCGTGATGGAGAAAAGTCCATCGTGCTGATCCCCGTGCAGATGGCCTCCCTTTTGCTGATCAGTACGATCCAGTCGTGCAGTACGTTTCTGGTTCAATACGTCACTCCGGCTGAGACATGTCCTGTTGACGTTGAAGAGGATGAAACAGGATGAAACAGATGGATTTTGTGAGCTTTTCGCTCAAGGTGGGCTTATAAGGCTTGTGAGGGCATTCTCTTGGGAGTCGTACAATGAGCCCCCCAGGAAAGGATGCCCAGGAGAGAAAGACGGGGAAAGACTTCAACCATATGCCTTGCACATCCTTAAGCCCTTCATTGAGGGGTTCCAAAGTCAATTCTTCCTTAAGGGCGGACAGCTTTCCTCATCGGGCTCACCTCCAACCCAGTTCATGGGCCTTTTCTCCGCAACACCCCAGCAGAGTTGGCCAAAATAGGATCAACTCCAGTACCCTACAACCATTGGTCCAGGGCTTTCCAGGAAGGACACCGGATGGAGATCGACAACATCAAACTAAAACATCAGTCGACTAACATCGCCAAACATTGCTTGAAGATAGGGTGAAACCATGTGAAACCCTCTTCACACGTGGACAAATTTCGATGGGTCAACCACTAGCCTGAGACTTCTCCGCCCGAAGAAAAAGCCGTTCGGTTCCGCTGCCATGCTGCGAAGTCGAAACGCTTTTT